GAGAGGAGTATACCGGTATATCTTCGTAGAGTATACATAGTATTCTTCCCCCTAATTAGTCTAGCTACGATAGAAGCACTTATACTTCCTATTAGCGATATCGCGTATATAAAAGAGGTATAGCTTAGTATAAATACTACCGGGAAAGTGCTTAAGAGGCCGACTACCCGCTAATTTCTTATTCTTAGGCGGCGGCGAAAGCGATAACACGAACTATTATACGGTTAGTATCGCCTTAAGGCGCGAGAGTATTATACCTATATCGTTCTCGGCGGCTTACTTACTACTATTATTACCCCTTTTATCGCCGGGAGCTAATACTATCTATAAAAACGATATAAGTTAGCGGACGGTTCCTTATAAAAGATCGCGAGCGAGAGACGGCTTACCTTAAACGGGGAACTCTTAAACTAACTAAGTATTACTAATATTACCTAAGGACGGGAGAAGTTAAAGGAGTCGTCGCTATAAAGGAGAACGAATATATACGGAATCGCTATTACGATTATTATTATTATTAAAGGTATGGAGGGGAATAGAGGAAAAGAGAGCCTATAAGAAAAACGGGGCCGATATATTTACGGATAGTATCTACGCGAGGGGGGCCTACGTTACTATTTCGGGTATATAAATAAAGGTTAGTAGGCGACCTGAAATTTCTTTAATATCGAGGTAAGGGCGAGGTAAGATAAAAGGATATAACTATTTCTTTATCACCACGATATAAGGGGGAGCTAAGCTATAATAGTAACGCGCGGTTATATAACCCCTAAAAGGAGAGAGGGGGGATAGTATTACGGGTTAACCCCGATATAGAGGATCCGGCTATACTCCGGATCTTCCTAACTACGCGCTTAGTTAACGGACCTATGTCGCTAAACCATCGCTACCTTATAGCTAGCCTAGCGCTATAGACTTTTCTCCTTTTTCCTTCTTCCGTTCTTAGTTCTAGATAATCTATTATTACGACCTTACATAGTGCCACGACCTATAACCAGTTATTGACAGAGAGGGATCTATATTGGTAGTGCGGATAACATTACTATTATTAATAGCTTACTTCCTCCTACGTATAGGGTTATAAGTCCTTCTAGCGTTAAAGAACGCCTTTTAGGCGTTATCGTTCTATACCTTCTCGGTCTTATAGATACTTATAATAGTTCTCGCGATAGATAGGCGCGCGGCTAATAGGCGTACGGCCGATAAGCACCCCCTAAGGGTATCCGTGGCTACTTATTAGTGGTTATCGTCTCCTTATACCTTAAACCCTTAACTACCGCTAACACTATAAGGAACTCGCGCGCAGAATCTTCCGGGGATATTAAAGGCGTCGGAAACAGTTTAAACCTTATAGCGGTAAACCGCGGAGTATCTGTAATAGTATCGGTGTCCGTAGTAATAGCGGTGTTATCGCCTTTACCCGTAATAATAGCGGTGGTATAGTCTTCTTCTATAGTAATAGCAGTATCCGTAATAATAGTGGTGCCCGGAATAATAGCGGTATAGTCTATAGTAATAGTAATAGCCTCTCTTATAGTAATAGCGATGGCCTCGCCTTCGTCTGTAGCGAGAATAGTAGCGTTAGAGTCTTCCAACTTAAGATCTAATACGTCTACGGCTATACCTCTTAATAGTAGCCTATTCACGGTCTTATGAGATTAGGTGATACGGATAGACTATAGGTATTCCCTGATTTCCTTAGCATAGGCTATAGCTTATAGCGTTTTAATTCTACCGTTAAATATCTCGTCTTTATTAAAGACTATATCTCTTATAGTAATAATATCCGTTAAGTATAATTGCTAGACGCGAAAGCTATTCGAGGATTAGTATCTAATATAATAACCGATCTATCCCTTTAGTTCTAGCCTTTATACACGGTTCCTTTTAGGTTAGGCATCGCGCGTTTTTATAAAGGCTTTATAGCCGTATACTCGTAGGTGCGTAAGGTTAGGTTAATAGCCGCATAGGCCTTCGTATAGCGTCTTCTAGTCGTTAATATATTATAGCGTTCTATTATATGGATATATAGCAGTCTTAGAGATCTTAGGCTAGATAGATATAGGCAGATTAGCTTTAATCCTTATAGCCCTCGCCCTTCTCTTAACGATACCTCTAATCTATTCTATAACGCCGTTTTAATCCTATAAGTATAATGCTAATAGCTAGTCTTCTACCCCCTTAGCAGTAAGGAAAGTAACGACTTCTAGGTGCTAAAACATCTTAGAATCGGCCCGTAGAACGCGTGGCCTAACGTCGAATTAGGTCTTAAGCAGGGTAAAAACGTCTTTTAATGCGTGTAGGATAGAGCCTTAGTCTTTCTTCTATAGGTAGTAATCCCACGTATAACCTATATATAGATCTATAACGAATATAATAGACTTATATAGACCGCCTAGCGATTCCGACTCTTTTAGATTATAAAAATCTATAGCTAGGCCTCTCCGGGCTTTAATGGGTAAATGGATAATATCCGCCGGATCTACGCAGGTACTTATAATTACCTATACGCGTTATAGTCCATAGAACGTAGTCCTTTTATCTTTACCCCCTAAGTAGCGTCGACGATCTTTATAAGGGTGTTAGTGCTATAGTGGCCGAGGCGTTCGTGCCACTATTATGCTATAGTCTTCTACGGTTACCGCGGTTATCGTGATCTCCTATACGGGTTATTACGGGGATACTAAGCGGAGACCGTAAACGCGGTAGCCGCCGGGGCTTCCGCGCGCTCGACTATATACTAGCCGTGGATATCTAGTAGTTTATAGATAGGCCGGTTATCGGTAAAGCTAATAATAGTGTTATTTACGGTATCCTAACAGTAGCCTTATAGGCGTCGCTAGAGTTCCGAGACGATATTAGTGACGAACTCCTTATAGTATACGATATTACGGAGGCGTAATAGCCTTTTTATATCCGATAGGGATTATACACGTAGCTTAACGTCTTTATATCCGAGGATAAAAGCCTTATAAGTACACACCTAAAGAGAGAAAGATAAAGTATTAGTGGGTAGTCTAACAGCCGTAAAATAGTCTTAATTATTAAAGATATAGATTAACGATCCTAAGTCTAGGATCGTACAGTGTAATAGCGCTCTGGCTTAGTTAATAGAACGGGATACCCCCTATTCTTATTATAATCTTAATAGTATCGTTATTCGAGGGCGCGCTACCCCTTATTATTAGGTTAGGTGGACGCCTAGTCCTGTCACGGTAACGGATAGGTCTTTATAAACTATACTCGCGGGCGGCGTAGTAACCCCCTAATTTTATTATTACGGTATAGTAGTTATAATAGGCGTAGTATTATAGAGTTAATCTTCCTAGACTTCCTTTATCTCATTAGCGGTGATAGCCACTACTTCTCGCCTTTTCTATATCGTGATATCCACGCGGCTTTTAAAACTATAGTTATATATCTTCTTTTCCGTGACCTTTATAATATCTTCACGGCTATACTAGGTATAAGGGCGTATATCCGGCCTTATATACTAATAGGCGGCGGTAGTATGGGTGTTTTCGTATATTTTATAATGCCTCCTTATTATGGGAGGAATAGCCTTTAAGGACGTATCGCTACCAGGACGCTTTTTATTATCTTTATTATTAGTAGTAGTAGTATCCTTAGTATCGGAGAGGTTCCTAAGGGTATTAAGGGTGCCTTTCCTGACTCTAGGCTTTATAGCAGAGGATTATAGGCTTTTTATATTACTAAGAACCGCTTTTAGAGCCTTTGCGAAGTCGTTAATCGTTAGCTCATTTTCCGTAATCTTATCGTAGTTATTAACTAGGTTGTTATTACTCTATTCCTGGGTAATAGGTCTAATAGCTTTTAACGCGTCTTCCGCCTAATAGTCTGCGCTTAATAGCTCTAACACGCCTATATATTTATAGTATATTATTGCTATTTTCTAGCTTATAATCTAGCCGTCTATATCCTTAGGTATAGCCTTTATAGGCGTGGTGTATCGTTAATATAGGACTAACGCTTCCTTACGGAGGTTCATCGAGGTTAGTCTTATATACGCGCACAGGAGAGTAATCTAAGCCGATAGGTTATTTACGGTATTATCCTATAGCTAGGCGAGGAGGTTATATAACGTGGTATAAATAGTCCCTTCGATATAGGACCGTACCTTATTAAACTCCTTCTGCTACACGTCGTAGTCTGCCTTTTCCTCGCGGTATACGCGGCGATCTTATAGGTAGCGCGTATACCTCTTTTTAAAGAGGTTATCGATAAACGTAGGCGTCCTTATCGGAGGCTCTTTCATTACGGCCATACTTTACGGCGAGCGGCCGTCTTCTTCTTACCGGCGGCTATAGCCGCCGTGGTAACGGCCGTGGTAGCGGCGGCGTTTATAGTATTAGTGGCCTTATCGTCCTTTAGCGTAATAGTGGAAGATAGAGTATCCGTGATAATAGAAGATAAGGTGGCTATAGCCTCCTCCGTTATATTAGGGTCCACGGCGAGGGCTTTATATTTACGAATATTAGGTAATATAGGCTTAAGAAGTAGGTAGATATCGGCCTCCTTGTCGCTTAGCTTTAGATTAAGATAGTTCTCCTAGTAAGAGGCAGATTTACCGCGCACGGCGTGCTCCTATATTACCTAATCCCTTTAGTTAATAAGGGTAGTGGCGGCCGCCTTTTATTCGGCGTTAGATATATTAGAAGATATCTTTGCTTCCTTATCGGTCAGTTAATTAATAGGTAGATTAATTAATAGGTAGGTTAATTAATCTTTTAATTACTCTAATTAGGTCGATAGTAGTTATTTAACAGTGCTTATATAGACGTGATGGCTTTTTTATAGTAGAATAGTGGTAGCCTTATTAATATCTAGGCGTTATAAACCAGGCTTATAACTATCGCACGTTAAAAGAGCACTTATATACTTAACTTAGTAGAGCAGAAATCTCGTATATATATATTATATTAAGTTTTATCTGTATAAGTCTCTTATACCCTTAATTTAGGTGGTGAAGACTCTGTTATAGGTACTATATTATTTAGATCCTATCCGGTCTTTTCCGGTATCCGCCCCTGTCATATCCTCATGCCCGAGGTCCCCGATATCCGAAGCCCTTAGTCATGGCGTGGATCCCCCCTGGATCCCCTATGGACCACGTCGTGGTCCGTGCGCCCATGCGACAAAGGTACCTTATTCATACAGGTACAAGATTACAAGTGCAGAACGCAGTGCAGCCAAACAACCCAACGGCAACTAAGGGGTTTGTCATTACGCAACCCTCCGCTGTCGCCCATTTTACATAGATAGCCACAGAACACACCACCTCGTGAGTTCTGTTAAGTAAAAGAAAGCAGCACCGAAGCATTTGTCCCAAGCTTTCCCTCCTTGCCTTTTCCTTCACCGCCTGCACTCCTCGGTTCGACTAATCAGAATCGTCACGAAGCCATCCTAAATCACTCCTAGGGCCAGGGTGGTCTAAAGCTCAAGGCTTCGAATTGGCTCTTCACCGGTTAGAGGCAGTACGGTGGATGCCGAACCGTCTGACTGGAGTCCAAGCCTATCCCCATGGGTCAGACCATCGCCTTCGGCTAGGCGTAAAAGCTGATCACCCCCTGTGAGAGCGGCGGCCTTGAAAGATTCTTGAACCTCCTGAACCCGTCGTTTGAACGCCAGTCGGTCAAGGAAGAGTTGATGGCGCGCCTTTTCCAGTTCCTGACGCTCGGCGTGCAGCATAATCTCCATCTCGCTGAAGTATTTCAACTTCAATTCCAGCTTCTCCAACGTCACATTCGCCGCTGCGGAAACTAGCCGAGTCATCTCTCGTTCCTCGTGAGTCGCCAGCCCAGCAGCGCGCGCTCCAATGGAGGCCAGGGATATGGATGCGACGGTTTTGGCTGTCGCCGTCTCTCTGGTATCAGTCGTAAGGTCGTGTTGCGGGTCAACTTCCATGGCGTCCGAATCTCCGCCTTCGTCCTTGCCCTTGCCTTTGATCGATGTCCCAGGGCTCTTTCCTCCACCCTCAAGCTGGCTACGTAGCCTGCGCTTGAGCTCATCAGCCGACTTCTGGGCCGCTGCCGCCGTGCTAGCTGGGTCTGCTAATCCAGCCAAAAACCCAATCACGGACATAACGGGGATGTCGGCTTGATTGAAAGGCAGCTGCTTCTCGCCAAAGCCGTCAAGATTGCTGAATTCAGAGTCGATATACTTGTCCTCAATGTCCAGCTGAAGAAATCGGAGGACACATTCCTCCCGGGTTCGAGTGCCTACGTGATCGGCAATCTCCCCCCAGTCGTCGTCGAACCGCTCCAATCCCTCAAGCAGACGCATTGTCTCGGCATCGCTCCAGGGAGCGTCCCGATCGAGGACAGACGTGTAGGTGGGGTTCGAAGCACGCGTGAAATCGCTCTTCTCTAGGTTGCTTGGAAGGTGATTGCCAATATGGCAGCTGGGGCATACGTCAAACCTAACCTGCTTGCTGCCGTCTCGCGGGTTGTGGTGATAGTAAAGCCTAGTGCAGTCGATGCCACACACGTGACAGTTCACCTTTGTCTCTGGCGACTTTGACACGTCCTCGGAGTTCGAAACGCCATTAACAGTGGTGACCTCCCCATTTGACCCGTCTCTCATAGTGTTCACGGCAGTCGTTTTCGCGTGCCCGTGGAAGATGTTACGGCGTACCTCCACCGTTGAATGGGCCTTATTCGGACCTTTCCCAGCCTTTTTGTCGGTATCTTCGTTCTGTTGACCCTCCATGGTCTTGTTGGCTGGTGAGGGCTGGAAGACCTGGAGACCACGCGGCGTATCGCAAATGACCTTGAAATGGCCAGTGTAGGGAGGGCCAACGTTCGACGGACGGTGTTCGCCGTCAACCTGGAAACCATTAGCAACCAGAGAGGGCAGATTATAGACACGAGCTCTTGAACGTCCTACCTGGTAGTTGATGAGACCCCACTGCTCAAGGAAGGCATGCACACGCATGATGGCGCATACGTCCCCTGCCAGGTTGCGTCTGCAAGCAGTCACTGTGAGATACTCAGAGGGATTGAGTCGGTAGGTGTTGATCATGAAGTCGCGATAATCTTTATACACAGAGGGGGTCTTGCTTCGATTGCGACTGTTGAAAAATTCTGGCACAGCCTTGCGCTCGATGTCGTGAATTGCATTCATGTCGAACCATGTGCTGTAACTTGGCAGAATGATCGCATGCGTCTGTGAGATAAGATGATCCCGGGCGGCCGTGTCTAGCGCATCCTTTGAGTTTTCGTCTCGACCCTCGGTCTCGTTGCCCGTGGTATTCTCCTCGCGAGTTTCCACCTGACTCGTGTTATTGTTGCCCGTGTCAAGGGCATGATGGGCATTTGGAGCGTTGTCGGAGGTGCCGGGAGGTGCCGGTGTCACACTGTCTTGTTTGGGAATAATGTCGCGTGCGGAAGTGTCTGTCATTTTGACATCTGCCAGGCGGGGGGGAGGATTAAGCAATTTGAAGGTTTAATGCGACGTCCTAGCCTCGACTAGCACTTACCTTCGGATACTTCAGCCGACTCAGTGGGCATGCTCGATACTGGTTGCGCCGCTTCTTGGGCAGAGTTTGGACTCCTCTCCGAAGAGAGGGCATTGGTTGGTGAATCATATGCCGTGGAATCGTCCATAGTGACTTGCAATGAAGTCGCGGAAGATGCAAGTGCAAGATTGCCAGGTCAGAGGGTCCGGAAGCCTTCAACGGGTAAGAGATCTTGGTGGAATTGCAGTAAGTCGACTTGCGGGAAATGCTGCTAGTATCTGATACGAGAAGAAGGGTGAATCGGGCATGTAAGGGGTGGTTGAGCTGATATCATGGATGCGAAGCAGCATTTTTACGGGACAGGCATCAAAATGCGTGCCATGCGACTTCGCGCGTTCCCTTGCGAGTTGAGACCTATGGGGGTGTCGCGAAACACAGTCGGACGCGGAACAACTAGCCTCCGAGTAGCAAACAATTATATACATAGTATAATCAATCCATGGAATATATGTAAACCCGAAGTCTAAGTTGAGTCGGACTAATTATAAGACATGTTTACTAGAATATATAGTAATAGAGACTTTTAACGATTATTTTATTATTAAATAATCTAAGTATTTATTATAATTATAATTAGATAACCAATATATTAGGTTCTCTTAGTAGCATATATAGTATAGGTAGTATAATATAAGACTTTAATTTCTCCACGCTAAATTAATAATATATTTAACTAAAACTAAATCAAAAATATATTATATACTTACCTAGTTTAAAATATATAGTATATAAAACTTATTTAGTATCTATACTTAGTATACGAACTGAATAGATGCATTTGCTAACTGATTAACTACGGATATTCGATAATGATAGTTTTTTATACTACGGCGGCTTGTTCCGCCTTTGTAATTAGAAGGGTCTTCGTGTCGTATAGGAAGACGGACCACGAGGTGGTCCCTAGGGGATCTATACCTAACTAAGGGCTTCGGATCTCGGTAACCTCGGGTATCAGGATATAACAGGGGCGGATACCGGAAAAGACCAGTTAGGATCCAAATAATATAGTACCTATAATAGAGTCTTCGCTACCTAAATTAAGGGTATAAAAGACTCTAATAGATAAAACTTAATATAATACACATATATAAGATTTCTACACTAAAAAATGAATTATATAAGTGCTATTTTAACGTGCGATAGTTATAAGCCCGGTTTATAACGCCTAAACGATAGATATTAATAAGACTACCCCTATTCTACTATAAAAGCAATTATATTTATATAAGCACTCTTAAATAACTACTATTAACCTAATTAGAGTAATTAAGCGCTTAATTAATCTACTAACCTACCTATTAATTAAACAATTAACCGATACATAAGCAAAGATATCTTCAAATATATCTAATACCGAATAGAAGGCGGCCGCTACTACCCTTATTAACGAAAAGGATTAAATAATATAGGAGCACACTATACACGGTAAATCTACCACCTACTAGGATAACTATCTTAATCTAAAGCTTAGCGATAAGGAAGCGAACGCCTACCTACTCCTTAAGTCTATTCTACCTAATATTCGTAAGTATAAAGCCCTTATTTTAGACTTAAACGCGGAGGAGGCCACGGCTATAACCACTATATCTTCCACTATCACGCTAAAGGGCGATAAGGTCGCGGACGCGACGGATACCGCCGCCACGACTACCACGGCTACTACTATAGCCGTTATAGCCGCTAATAAGAAAAAGACGGCCGCTCGCCGGAAGGCTACGGCCGTAACGAAAGAACTACCGATAAGGACGCCTATATCTATTAATAACCTTTCCGAAAAGGGGCGTACGCGCTACCTATAAGATCGCCGTGTATACCGCGAGGAAAAGGTAGACTACGACGCGTAGTAGAAGGAGTTTAATAAGGTACGCTCTTATATTAAAAGGACTATGTATACTATATTATATAACGTCCTCGCCTAGCTATAGGATAATACTATAAATAACCTATAGGCTTAGATTACTCTCCTATACGCGTATGTAGGACTAACCTCTATAGACCTCTATCAGGAAGCCTGAATCCTATATCGACGATACACCACGCCTATAGAGGCTATACCTAAGGATATAGACGGCTAGGTTATAAGCTAGAAAATAGCGATAATATACTATAAATAGGTAGGCGTTTTAGAGCTATTAAGCGCGGACTAATAGGCGGAAGACGCGTTAAAAGCTATTAGAACTATCTCCTAGGAATAAAGTAATAACTACCTAGTAAATAACTACAATAAGATTATAGAAAATAAGCTAACGATTAACGATTTCGTAAAGGCTTTACGGGCGGTTCTTAGTAATATAAAGAGCCTATAATCCACTATTATAAAGCCTAGAGTTAGGAGAGGCACCTTTAATACCCTTAAGAATCTCCCCGATACTAAGGATACTACTAATAATAAAGATAATAAGAAGCGTCCTCGTAGTAATATATCCGTAAAGGCTATCCCTCCCACGATAAGGAGGCCTTATAAGATATATAAGAATACCTATACCACCGGCGCCTATTAGTAAGTAAGCTCACATATACGCCCTTATACCTAGTATAGCCGTAAGGATATTACGAACGTTACGGAAAAGAGAATATGTAATTATAGTTTTAAAAGCCGCGTAAATACCGCGATACAGAAAAGGCAGGAAGCCTTAGGGGCTATCACCGCTAATAAGATAAAGGAAGTCCAGGAAGATTAACTCTATAGTACTACGCCTATTATAACTACTATACTATAACTATAAAATCAGGGGGTTACCAGGCTACCCGTAAGTATAGTTTTGAAGGACCTTTCCGTTACCGCGAGTATATGGATAGGCGTCTACCCCTCCTAAGAGGGGGGGGGGAGCGCGCCCTTATATAATAACACGATTAAGATTATAATAAGAGGTATCCCTTTTTATTAATTAAGCTAAAGCGCTACTATACTATATAATCCTAGACTTAGGATTATCAATCTATATCTTTAATAATTAACGCTATTTTACGGCTATTAGACCTCCTACTATAGATCTCTTATCACTCTAGGTGGGTAGTTATAAAGCTTCTATCCTCTGATACGGAGACGTTAAACTACGTATATAATCCCTATTAGGTACGAAAAGGCTATTACGGCTCTATAGTATTATATACTACGAGGAATTCGTTATTAATATCGTCTCGGAACGCTAGCTACGTCTATAAGGCTACTACTAGAATACTATAAATAATACTATCGTCCGCTTTACCAATAACCGGCCTATCTATAAGCTACTAGATATCCACGGCTAGTATATAATTAAGCACGCGGAAGCCACGGCGGCCACCGCGTTTACCGTTTCGGCTTAACACCCCCGCGATAACCCGTTTAGAAAATCGCGATAACCGCTGTAACCGTAAAAGACTATAACGTAGCGGTAGTATAAACGCCTCGGCCACTACGGCATTAATACCCTTATAAGGATTATTAACGCTATTTAGTGGGTAAAAATAAAGAGACCGCGTACCGCCGACTATAACGAGTATAGGTAATCGTAAATACCTATACAGATCCGGCGGATACTATCCCTTTTATCGCACGTCAAATAGCTCTTGGATCATTAACTTAGTAGAGCAGAAACCTCGTTTATGTTTGTTATAGTAAGTTATATCTAGGAGAGTCTCTTATGCCCTTAATTAAGGTGGTGAAGACTCTGTTATGAGTACTATATTATTTAGATCCTATCCGGCCTTTTCCTGTATCCGCCCCTGTTATATCCTAATACCCGAGGTCCCCGATATCCGAAGCCCTTAGTTATAGCGTGAATCGCCCCTAGATCCCCTATAAACCACGTCGTGGTCCGTGTGCCTATACGATACACCCCCTTACTTAAGGTGGGTCTTCTCAGGTTAACTAACTAATTAGAGGCTTCGGTTTAAACTTAACGCTCTCGACTTTTTCTATCGTAAAGTTAATAGTCAGGGGAAAACGCCCTCGTAAAAAGGATCTAAATCCGCCCTATTTAACCGTTTAATTTAATTCTATCTTAATTAGTTCCTTAATCCTGATTAGCGGGATCTGCTTAATCGGATCTATATCTATCGGGTCTGCTACGCTCTCGGGGGCCTTCGCAATCGCTACGGTTCTAGCGCGTTCGATCTCTTTATATAGCCGATTAGACCACTCTATACGATCCCTCTAATCCGTTAAATTAAGCTATTACTATAGTCTTTTAATTCTTACCTCCGGTAATGCCTTCGTTAAACCGTCCGCGATTATCTCCTTCGTGTTAACGTATATAACCTTAAAAAGACCTTATTATACTAACTAGCGCGCCTACTAATTATATATATCGACGTGCCCTAGTCTGATCCGTAAACGTTATACCTTCTTATTAACGAGGTTAATAGTCTGCTAATTATCGTAGTATAGCTATAGCTACTATTAGTCTAACCGAAGCTTTAAATCCCTTATTATCCGGCTAACAAATAATATCTCCTTAGCGGCCTCGGTAAAAGCGAGTAGTTCCGACTCTATTAACGATATCGTGACTATCGGTCATTTACGCGCCTTCTAGTTAACGGTACCGCCGAAGAGCTTTATCGTATATTCTTATAAACACTTACGGTCGGGATTATCCCCGAAGGACGCGTCGTTTACGGTTAAGAAGAGTCTATCCCCGCTAAATTCCAGGTAATAGTATCATATACAGTATAGAAATAATAGCACTTATGAAGCCCTTTTAAGGTGGTTAGAGGAGGGGTTAACGTTATATTAGGAAATCTTTGAATAGGCGAACACGATATCGGGTCTTATTATGATAGCGGTAGATACGATAGAACCGATTATACCCTAATACTAACGGACCTCGGGAATTAACGTGCGCGTGCCGTCGTGTAGTATTAACGGCTCTATAAATAATAGGACCTTTAGTGGTTTTCGGCAGAGGATATCTATATAGTATTTAACCGCGATCTTCTCCACGTAGGAGGATTATAATAGCCATAACCTACGGGTGGCTCTATCTCTCAGGACCTTAATTACTAGGAACTAACGGATTTCTTCGCCTCCTAATAACATGTAGATTTGCTTAAAGGAGGCCTTAAGGCCGTCGGCATTAGTCTTATGGTCTCTATAATATATAAGTCCTATATCGTCGATAGAGAAGAATATAATTAAACCGTCGCGGGTTATAATATAGGGGTTATTAGAGACGGCCGTGAATCCTATCTTCTATAGCGTGTCGCTGAATTCGTCTTACTATAGTAGTAACGATACCCTTAATCCGGAAAGGGCTTTTCGTAGTAATAGGACCTTACCTAGAGCCTTGTAGCCTTACGGTATGTTTATAAATACCTTTTCTTTAAGGCTAGCGTTAACGAACACATTAAAGGCGTCGA